ACTCCATCCTCCTCGTGCCCGCTGAACACTGTAGACTGTTTCTTGCTTCAATTAATGATGGAAGGAGTTTGTCATTTTTGAACGCATGGTAGAGAAGGATATGGAGATGTGATTAAAGGACTGGCGAGAAGCGGGCTGGAATTTCAGCTTTGCTGTAGATAATGAACACGGGTTCGCTGCAGTCGCTACATGCTGTCCCATCTTTCGCTTTTGGCGCCACTAAAGTCAGGCACCTGTTGCTCTGCACTGCGGGGCTTCGCCCCTGCAGGCCCCTGGAGCAGAGAGACCCCTTTGTCCCTCTACTCCATAGCATGCATTTCGCAGGGACGATGGCTTGCATCATACTACATTTTACCGGAATCTGAAACACATGAAAAGCAGGACATTGAGGGTGCAGAGTCCTGCTTGTGAGGAACTAGCTGGCCCAGGAGCAGTGGTTTGACTCAGAATACCAATACCCCAGGGGTATCAGTGAGGCACAGAGCACAGTGGTAAGAACTTGGCTTTAAGGACAAACAGACCCAGGGCTGAATCCCCTCCTTGCCCCTTACTAGCTGTGTCACCTAGGCAAGCTCCTTACCTTTCAGTCTCAGTTTCCTCACCTGCAAAATAAATACACCCCCAAGAGCACTGCTAAATGAGATCACGTATGTGAAGTGCAGTGCCTGGTACATTGCTCACATACCACGTATGTGCCTGGCAAGATGGAGGCGACAAAGATGGGCAAGATGCAGAGCTGCTGCCTGATGTATTTACATTCTAATAAGGAAATCTATGTAAACTTAATATCTCTGTGACTCCCTTTCCTCATCTATAACGTGTGGGTGATGACAATGCTCATTTCGTAAGATTGAATGATTAATATACATGAAACATTTAGAAAAGTACAGGCACATTGTAGTACTCGAAAAGGTATTTCATGCTGTTGGTTGAGAGGAGAGTTAACATTTTGTGGAGAGGATTAAGAGTTATTTTACAGAGAAGGTGACAATGAGATGAACTAGAAGGATTGCTTGGTGTTGACGGGGCATTCTGGGTAGAAGGAATGACTAAGAGGTGCAAAGGTGCAGGGTTGGGAAGATTGAGATGGGTTCAAGGGGGAGCCAATCACTCCTTTCAGTCTACAGCATGAGCTACACAAGGATAATAGTAGAGGTCCAGGAAGGCTTTTTGAGAATCCTAAAATGCTAAGTGAAAATGTGTACTTAATTGTGCAGGCAATGTGGAGGTCATAGCCTGGGGGAAATAATATGATTAGAGGTATGCAACAGGAAAATTAGTGTGGCCATGAAGTAAGGACAATTAGAATTTCCATCAGCAATGCAAATAAGAAACTAGTGGCATGTCGTTTATTCATTCAACAAATATTTCTTTGTTATGTATAAGGCACCACCCTAGACATTGGGGATACATAGATGAACAAGATAGAATCTGACCTCCTAGACATTGGGGATACATAGATGACATTGGGGATACATAGATGATAGAATAACCCTGGTAGATAGACCTCCTGGAGGTTATAGCCTAGTGGGAGAGACTACAGATGATCATGCAGGCATATCATTCAAGACAAGGCAAGTTCAAAGAAAGAAGCTACAGGAGCTTTGACAAGAAGAGTGTGTAAAAGGAGCCAGGGATGGCTTCCTCATCCTTCAGGCAAAGATTTTGGAGTGGACAAGATCGTATCTATTTTATAGAAAGACATTTCTGTCATCCGTATGGAAAATTTATTGGAAAGAGGTCAGGAGGGCTTCCCTGGTGGCGCAGTGGTTGGGAGTCCGCCTGCCGATGCGGGGGACACGGGTTCGTGCCCCGGTCTGGGAAGATCCCACATGCCGCGGAGCGGCTGGGCCCGTGAGCCATGGTCGCTGAGCCTGCGCGTCTGGAGCCTGTGCTCCGCAACGGGAGAGGCCACAACAGTGAGAGGCCCGCGTACCGCAAAAAAAAAAAAAAAAAAAGAAAGAAATAGAGGTCAAGAGCAGATTTGGTTGAACTAGTTGGGAAGCTATAGCAGGAGTAACATCAAAAGATGATTGTGTGAAAACTTCATGCAATGATCCTGTTACTTGTAATAACACAGATGACTCTCACAGACAAAGGAAACGAGACACAAAGAAGAATATATTGTATTCTTCCATTTACATGAAATTCAAGAGTAGAACTTTATATAAATGAAGTAATCTGTGGTGGTAGATTTCAGAGTAGTGGCTGTATTGGCGGGGGGGTTATTGACTGGAAGCGTCATGAGGAAGGCTCTGGCAGGCTGGAAATTATACCTGTATCTTTACTTCTAATTCACACCTGCTTTGTAGGTGTAATTTGTGTGCCATGGGAATGAAAAGTAGGTCTGATATGTACCATTTAAAAAAATGCATACTCAAAATGTAATGTTAAGGGGGAAGAGTAGGATAAAAATTTGTACATATAACATTATCATAACTCTCAAAGAAATTAATGTAATTTATTTAAAAATTAAAAGGAAAATATCCAATATATATATATATATTTTTTTTTTCGGTACGCGGGCCTCTCACTGCCATGGCCTCTCCCGTTGCGGAGCACAGGCTCCGGACGCGCAGGCTCAGCGGCCATGGCTCACGGGCACAGCCGCTCCGCGACATGTGGGATCTTCCTGGACCGGGGCACGAACCCGCGTCCCCTGCATCGGCAGGCGGACTCTCAACCACTGCGCCACCAGGGAAGCCCTCCAATATTTTAATATTGGTTATTTCTGGTGGTGGGATTTCAGTTGACTACTGTGAAGAGATACCCCGAGGGTATTTTCAATAAACACTGACACCAAGGTTGAGAGACCAACCAATCTCTCTGAGCAAAGGACAGGGATGTGAATCCCATTTCTGGTCTTTCTCAGGGGAGTGACTTTCAGCAAGTTCTGTAGCCTTTTTAACCCTCAGTTTCCTCAGTCTTAGAAAAGGGGTCATAATGGTGCTTCCACACTGGGGCTATTTGGGGGACTAGACAGGATGAAGCGTAAGTACAGTGAATGCTCAGTAAATATCGGTTATTGCTATTAAAGGAAATTGTGGAAGCAGAAGAGGATGAAGCTTCCACATTTGCACCAACTGCCCCTCTTTTCTGTGTCCTCCGTAGAGATGGAAGCTGGCGATGGGATTTGAGGAGGAGGGTGGAGGGACCAGGGAGCACGCCCAGCTGGGGTGGAAGCTGAACACTTCTGAGATGAAATCCTCCGACTTCCTCCCAGCCAGAAAGGATGGTCGAAATGTTCCCAAGTTGGGAATTGAAAAGGGGGTGGTGATGGGAGGACAAGGAAATGCTATTTCCAGTATAAATTCTACAGAGTATAAAAATAAAGAATGTCATTTTAAATGGGATAGTTTAAAGTTGAACATTTTGTGACTATGTATAGCTGTGAGTGTGAAAATATATAAAATGATGTTATTTAAGGAAATCACAAAAACCCATATCACTTGCCTTTGTACATAGAGACACGTTACTTCTGTACATTATCAAACAGTGAATATTATTATATTTGCATGCTATTTGAATACATGGAAAAAATATTTTAATTAAAATTAACTCTTCTAGAAATCAGTGGAGACCACATCTTCTCAGGTAGAATTAAGGGAAATTTAACTGGCACTTAGTCAATAATCGAGGTAGCATGAAATGCACATGTACCCCAGGTATTTGCATCTCTTTCTTCCTGCTCAAGGAGACAGCCTTATGATATTTACTATTACCAGTAACCCAAATCGTGTTCATTGGTTAGGCCAAAAAGTGTTAAAATGACTTTATTTCAATAAGAATAAAAAGGAAATTACAAATAAAACAGAAGCCTGTTGTGTTATATATAGAAAGACTATAATTCTGGGAAAGGGGGCATAGAATTTTATTTTATTTTTTACTTATTTTGTTTTATTTTATTTTATAGGAAGTTTCTGAAAATCATTATTTTGAGGCCTAACCAGATCTAATATCATACTCTCATTCATAGCATGAGCAGGAAATTGTGTCCACATTTGTCTGTTGCCATCTGCATTCCAATTCAGAATTGTCAGGACTTCCCTGGTGGTCCAGTGGTTAAGAATCTGACTTGTAATGCAGGGGATGCCGGTTCAATCCCTGGTCAGGGAACTAAGGTCCCACAAGCCGCAGGGCAACTAAGCCCACACACCGCAACTACGGAGCCCACATGCCACAACTAGAGAGCCCTCGCACCGCAACTAATGAGCCTGTGTGCCACAACTAGAGAGAAGTCCATGCACTGCAATGAAGAGCCCACACGCTGCAGTGAAAGATCCCATGTGCCGCAACTACGACCCGATGCGGCCAAAAAATAAATACATAAATAAATATTTTAAAAAATAAATAAAAATTGTCCAACATGATATAATGCACACACGGTATTCTGAAAAGCTACCTCTGAATAATAATGATATTGGTAATGATTATATTAGCTACCATTTTTATTAATATTTATTTATGCAGCAGGTATTGTGCTAAGCATTTTATATATGTTAGTTCATCTACTTCCCCCAACAAATCTATGAGGGAGGTATTTTGTTAGACCAATTTTATGGGTGAGAACAATAAAGCTTAGAGTAGGGGGAACAACTGCCCAAGTTTTCCCAGGATGTGGGACTTCCAGCTGCTTATACCAGGAAAGTCCTGGGCAAACTGCATGAGTTGGTCACTCTATAAAAGTAACTTGCTTGATTCTTAAGGGGTAGAGAGGGATTTAACCTCTTCTCACCTTGGCTGGTCAGATTTCCTATGTACTGCCGGCCCAGCTCTAGATTACAGTCTAAAATAAACAGCAAAGACATTCTTTGGTGGCATGGGGGAGGGATCTAAGTTGAAGTTTGGGAATATTATTCCAGGTGATGTAATGGAAAATGTCATTTTTCCAGTCCCTGTCCCCAGACCACTGAGCCAGTGAAGCTGAGCCTCCCTTTACCAGATTTCCAAAGGGCTTGCATATCACCATAATCTGACATTCAGAATGAAAAAGCACTCACCTTAGGAAGGGGATAGAGGTGACACAAGGGTTGGCCAGGGTCCTGTTTACAAAACTCCAGGGTGTGACACACCACATCAGCATTTACATCCGCTTTGAGCCTAGAGGGAAATAGGGCAAAACAAAGGATATTTAAAAGCTCTCAGGCATTAGGAAACAAAAGCTATTTCAAAAGAAGGTCAACTCCCAGAATGAATTCTAGTATGGCCTTTGAGTCCAGTTCCATGCAGCTGCTGGATCATAACGATTTCCTGCCACTTGCTTTTTCCTACTTTTAGAATAAGGTCCTGGGGGTGGGGAGAGACGACTCACAGCACTGAGCTGTGAGCTGGCCTCTCACACGGGCACTGTGACGCTTTTCAGGAGAAGCCGCAAATAAAATTGAGAAAGGAAAAATGGACAGAGGTGTAATTTCATGGGAACAACATTATTTTTTTTTAATTTATTTATTTAATTAATTTATTTTTGGCTGTGTTGGCTCTTTGTTGCTGCACGCGGGCTTTCTCTAGTTGAGACGATTGGGGGCTACTCTTCGTTGTGGTGCGTGGGCTTCTCATTGCTGTGGCTTCTCTTGTTGCGGAGCACGAGCTCTAGGTGCATGGGCTTCAGTAGTTGTGGCACGTGGGCTCAGCAGTTGTGTCTCATGGGCTCTAGAGGTCAGGCTCAGTAGTTGTGGCACACGGGCTCAGTTTCCCAGAGGCATGTGGGACCCTCCCAGACCAGGGCTTGAACCCGTGTCCCCCGCATTGGCAGACAGACTCTCAACCACTGCACCACCAGGGAAGTCCCAGAACAACATTTTAATGTTTACTGAGCCTTATAGCAAAAAATCTTTGATATAGCCTTAAACACCTAAAATTATTTTCTTAGATGTAATCCAAATCACCTCTTTTCCTTTTAAAGCAAATATATTTATCTTTGACTTTTTCCCCTGAGTATGGTGTAAGGATAGTGCTCTTCAAACATTTTGGTTTATGTCTGGGTTTGAAGGGGTTAAAACAAACCTTCCATATTCATTTTCTACATGCCACCCCCAACACTCTTAAACCAAGAAGAATGAGTATAATGTACTGCTTCAAATGAAGGAACAAGTCATGTGTGGACTTTTAGTAACTTTTCCAAGTAAACTACTGACTCAAACTCAAATCAAAACAACAAAAACAAAGACTCCAGAAACATACATTGGTAATATCTAGAGACTAATTTTGGAAGGACAGTTATAGATTCTAGAAGCTATTTTGAAGGGTTTCTTCTCAACTCACAAGATCACTTAACTGTCCCCCTTCACTTGTACGGGTGGGTTCCTGGCAACTGTGTATATACTTCATATCTCCCGCCAGTTGATTGGTCCTCATTAGACTGCAATTCAAGTAGGACCAATCAGATTCTCTCTCAGGAAAATTTGGAATTGGTATTAAAAAGTATGACTTCATTCTGGGCTGTTCCAAGAAGAGCAGGAGCTATAGTGACTGGGGACTGTAATGTCATTTCCTGCCATGAGGACAGAGCATTTGGAAAGCTAGTCTGTAGGATGGGGTTCAGGCGGCAGAACCCAACGCGTGCAGTGAGGAAGAGACTCTGTTCCTGGTGGCTTCCCAGTCCTGTTTCCAGCTCTGTCTGAAGCCTGGATATTTTCCTGTCTTTAAGTTCCATGACATGCTTTAGGTGCCCCTGTAATAAATCTACTCTAACGCTTTAGGTGCCCTTGTAATAAATCTACTCTAATGCTTTAGGTGCCCTTGTAATAAATCTACTCTAACACGCTCCCCCTCCAACTATTACAGTGACTATCTCTACAGCTACTACAATCACTACCACCATTCTTCTCTCCCTGACCCTTCTCCTCTTCCTCTTCCTTCTACTTCACAAGCAAAGCTAAGTTGTTTCTGTCTTTTTGTTTTTTTTTGACTGAATGCAGTCACAGCCCACGCATGGGCCAGCCCTTGAGAAGCATTGGTGAGCCTGGCAATGCTTGGCCCTGTGACCAGGGCCTGGATGTAAGTCATTGGATCTGCTCCCTGGCTTCACTCCTATTTCTGCTTTATTTCTCCAATAACCATTCCAGCGACCCTCCATTGGGTTGTCCACTCCTCCAAGGGAGTTTTCTACCTGGACATGCAGAATAAAAAACGAGATTTAGAGACGTAAAACAAAAGCAAGGTGCAAACAAAACAAAATAAAACAGAAACGCATCCTGGTTTCACTTAGTGTGCATAAGTAGCACTTTTAATAGTTGCTGAACATTGAAACATCTTTAAAAGCTCTAATAATCTTAACTTTGGACTGCCAAGCAAAAAGTGCGAGGAGGAGCCTTGAGTCTTAATTTATATCATGAACCTTCTTGCAGAAAGAACTGCCCCAATATTAATGAAAAGCCTATTGGAGAAAGAGAGTCCATCTCAGAGATCTTTAAATATTTTGATGTGATCCAGGAATCCCATTCCTGGGCATCTATCAGGAAAAGATGAAAACTCGAATTTGAAAAGACACATGCACTCCAATGTTCATAGCAGCACTATTTAGAATAGCCAAGACATGGAAGCAACCTAAGTGTCTATCAACAGGTGAATGGATGAAGAAGATGTGATATGTGTGTGTGCGTGTATACACACACACACACACAATGGAATAAAAAAGAATTAAACAATGCCATAAAAAAGAATGAAATAATGCCATTTGCTGCAACGTGGATGGACCCAGAGATTATCATACTAAGTGAAGTAAGTCAGAGAGAGAAAGACAAATGTTATATGATACCACTTATATGTGGAATCTAAAAAATAGTACAAATGGACTTATATACAAAACAGAAATAGACTCACAGACATAGAAAAGAAACTTACGGTTACCAAAGGGGAAGGGGGAGGGATAAATTAGGAATATGGGATTAACAGATACACACTACCATATATAAAACAGATAAACAACAAGGTTTTACTGTGTAGCATAGGGAAATATATTCAATATCTTGTAATAAACTATAATGGAAAATAATAAAAAAGAATATATATATAACCAAATCACTTTGCTGTACCCCTGAAACTAAGACAATATTGTAAATCAACTATACTTCAATTAAAAAAAGAGATATTTCGATGGTCACTAGTATGTGAAAACATAGGCTGGGATCATGGCTTTCAAATTTCATTCCAGCTGAATGAGACTAACAATGTGACTGGCTAGATGGCTTTTCAGCTTTTTGTGGGCATCTGAGTTAAGACAGGAAAGCGAGCTCATCATGAGAGTCATCTGCTTGGCCCCAGGGTTCCTTCATAGGAGGTGGAGGGGAAGGTAACGTAAAGGTGACTAAGCTGTGGAACAAGCAGTTTGTGACACACAAGGTCCATTACCAAAGTAATGTCTACCAAGGGTCAGTAAATCAGGAGAGGGTGGCTGGTTTCACACATCTGTTCTCAACTTAATGGTTCATTTATTTAATTGATGACTGCTGTCTTTGGGGAGATCTGGTATTTTGTGGACTCAGGACGGTAATAAATAGGGCTCTGCTTAATCTTTTTTTTTTTTTCAACCTAAGGCCAATATCCCATCTGTGGCAATTCAGAACCACCAGAACTAACTCATCATATGGTGTCCAAGATCTATTCTCTTTCCCCTGCAAACAGAGCAAAATTTCAAGTAAGTGAACTTGAATATGGGAGTGGGGATGGTGGCCCCTCATTCAGCGAGTGAGACTTGTGTTCTCTGAACTGAAAAATAGAAGAGGGGAAGTGGGTATGTGGTTTCCCTCCCCAATCCTCTAAGATCAGAGCTTTATCATCAAAAGACTGGAATTGAGAAGCACCCCTTTGCACAAGAATAGAAAGTGCTGAGCCTCAGACATCCAGACAAGTGTAAGACCATGAAATGTGCAAGATGCAAAGAAGTGGCAAAGTAGCATGTGCGCTCTTAACCAACCTTGGGACAGAAGGCTTAGGTATACACAATTTGTGAAATCCTCAGGAAATCTCCAAACCCTTAATAACTATTCCCATCCAACATTGCCTTCTTTTTCCCGGAGCTGCAAATAAGACCAAAATGGTCACATTTCAATTGACATCCTTTACTACCTTTACAGGTAACAGAGTTGTACAGGAGTGAGTCATGTGGGGAGGAAGCTTCAACACATTCGGCAGAGCTAACTAACAAGTTTAATTAGGATCGTGGTAGAAGGAAGTCAATGCTGATGACTGGCATCATCATAAATCAAAAGAAGGGAGCACGGTCAGGGTTAAGTTTGAACAGACAGGTAGAGTGATAGCTTATGGCAGGGAGCAAGGACAGAGCCTTTCACACAAGGAAGCTCTCAGATTTAGACCTTTGACATCACTTTCAAAGGAGAATTTATACATTAATATATAACCACAGAGATACACTCACAGCATTGAAAGAAGATCTTCCTCATACGACTTAACACTTTTATCTCACTTCTGGACCACACACTTTGGAGTGTACTAGGAATTTAATCATTTCTATAAATCTTGTCATTACCTTGTCAATGGCTCAGTTGTATTATTGTACTTCATATTTTTGCTATTTAAATATACGTTAGTTACCTTTAAGTTGTACCAAAATTGTTTTAAACCCTGTTTTGCATTTTTCTTCTAAATATGTTAGTAGTTTAGGCCGCTCCTGATTTCTGAAATCTTATATTCCCTAAGTTTGGAATATAAGCTTTTATGATTGAGAGCATAAATAGATACCATGAAGCAAGGTGAGATGAACAGAAGACCAGCATCAGCTTTGCTATGGCAACCTCTGGCACAACAGAAGTCAAGACAAGGAAGACGGAGCACGTGGTCACTGGCTAGGCTTGGTTGCTCCCGGAAGTAGCCCTGCCCTGCCTGACCCAGGTTCTTGGGCTAATGAATGCCCGAGTACTCAGGTGTCCCACTTCCTAACAACATCCTGTGGTTCGCCTGTGGGTAGGAAATGTAACTGCTGAATAATTAGTCCATGAATCATTGAGAATTGACCTATGAAATAATGAGGAGGGATGCCCTCTGGGTTAGGAAACATTTATTATTGGAAGCCTGAAATTCAGGTAAAACTAAATCATAAGGTTGTCATGTTCAGGGTCTACATCAGCCCAGGACTGCATGTGATTGATTAAAATAAGCTGTAAGAAGAGGCCACCGTAGGAAGAGAAATTGCTATCAGCAAACAGCTAATATGGGTCCTGGAAAATTACACACAAACAAAACTAATAGTGGACGGAACCACAAAGGGGGATCATTTATTATATCTACCTTTCTTCAAAGTGGCCTCCCCCATACTAATGAGAATTAGTCACTTATGACTCTCAAAGGAAAAACTTTCTTCCCCTCCCCACTACCTATTCAGCCTCTTTCAGTGGCTTGCCAGACCCATTTTTTTCTGTGACTGTTTTCCACTTACTTCTCTGGTTCCCTGATCTAGGCCCAGGAAAACCTCTCTGGCCAAGCTGATGTTTCCCCCAGAGCACCTGGCTCAGACTAGGTGTGTAAACAGATTCATTGAATAGGCTAAATTGTTTTCTTTTCTTTAGTTCATCTGTAGTGATAATTTTATTTTTATAAAGAATTAATTTAACAAATGTTTACTAAAGGCTTTCTATGCTCAAGTATTGCACCAAGCCCTGGAGATACAAAACCCCCTGCTTTCCCTTCCTCCCTCCCTTCCTTCCTTCCTTCCTTCCTTCCTTCCTTCCTTCCTTCCTTCCACATATTCAGTATTTTGCTTAAGATGAATAAGTGTAGTCTTAGTTCTCAGAAGTCTTTCAATCTAGTTATCAACTCAAAAAAGTAAATGGAGAATTAAAGCACAAACAGACATGATAAGTGCTGTTTGCAAGTGCTAGGGGTTTGCACAGGATAGGAAGAGTGAGTGTGTCTGTGTGTGTGTGTTGGGGGTATCTATCTTAGCCTAGGGAGGGTCAGGAAAGCTTCCAGAGGAAATGACCCTGGAGCTGAGGTCCAAAGAAGTAAGATATTTTTGGGGTACAGGTTTTGGATGTGCCAAGCTGAGTGAACAGCTCATGCAAAGGTCCTGAGGCAAAAACCTTCTGATGTGTGGGGAGAATTACAAGTGGTTTGGAGCATGGTGTGCTGTGGAGCAGCCAGGGATGAGTCTGAAAATGTCCTCAGGGGTCAGTTCATAAAGAGCTTTGTGTAGGGGGCTAAGGAATCCTGCAAAGGGAGTGAAAATTTTATGTTGGAGATTGCCATAATTAGTTTTGCATTAAAAAGCTATCTAGCCAGCTAGGATGTGGATTATGGACTTGCAAGGCAATGGGCAATCCTGCAGGGCTGGGGTCCTACTAGGAGGCAGTGGCAGTAATAGAGATATGAGCTAAGAAGAAGGGGTCCCTGCCTTCCAAAAACTCCCAGTCCAGGGCCCAGGGAAAATCACTGACCACAGTAAAGGGAGGGCAATATAAATAGAGGCAGGTGCACAGCACGATGGAACACTGGTCATCCCTCGGGTCTGTATCATTTTAAGTTCCTTTTGTCTTTAGAATTCTGTAACTGCAGGCTACCCTTCTGTGGGGTTAGCTTCTCTGAGCCACTCTGCTCTGAGGCTAATATGAGGCATATAAAATAGGAACTATGTAAGAATGTTCACAGTAGCACTGTTCACAAGTGTCACATGTGGACAGTGCAAAACCAGAAAACAACCCAAACACCCGTCAATGGGAGAGTGAAGAAATAGACTCTTGTAGAGACACAATGGAATATTGTGTGCAGTCAGAGTGCATGAACTACAGCAGTGACACAAATCTATGGATGAATCTTAGACATACAAATTTAAGTGGTAAGTCCCCAAAGATTATGAACAATGTGATACCCTCTTCATAAAGTAAAGAAATAACCAGAATTTTAAAATATGCTTTAAAGGAATATATAAAATAAATATATTAATAATTATTTATTGTATTAGCATATATTATTTTTATGATTATAATTTATCATATTAATACATATATATAAAGACTATAGAAAAAGGAAACAAGAGAAAGATAAACATGGGATTTATTACTCGGGTGGAGAAAAGCTTGAGAATGAAGAGAAGGACCGTGTGGTCAGGGTAAGTTATTGTCAAGGACCTAGAATTTGCCTTGGGTGGTAATTTGGATGCTAATTACAGTATTCAAAGTAACTAGGTAAATAACTAAATAAGAAATACAAGAAAGCCATCTATGAATCCTTGATGAGAAAATGCCATGAACAGGAATATGATTTATCTGATCCAGTGCTCTGAGCTCAAAAAAGAGAAAAGAAAGAAAGGAAGCAGACAGGTAATGATAATGGCGCACATACAGGACCTTGAGGGGTGGGGCTGGAGAGAAGGCCGGGAAAGCAGCAGGTGGGAGGAGAAAAGGAAAGAACTTGAGAAGCACGTGGCCCGAGAACCCAGGAAGGAGTGTAGGGCAAGCGCGGGAGAAAGGGTCAAATTCCCATGTCCCGCCACTAGGATCTTGTCACTTGTTGGCATTATTGGTGAAATTCCTTCTGAAATCCTCTTGGAGAGAAACTGAGCCAGGTTACCACACTGTAATTCAAAGGGAGCCTTTGCCTAGGATCACAAAGGATCTGAGTCAGGTTTGAATTTTCCACTATTAACAAGAACTGGAGAGATATTACGCCCTTTTACAAAAAGTACCTCCAACTGGAAATGGAGCCAGCTACCTCCCAGTTTTCCTGCTTCCCCCCCATCATGTCCCAGCAACCAAATCAGAGTAATGTGCTGGCATACTCACAGTTTTATGATGTCTGGTCCAAATATGCTTACCACTAAGTAGCAGGTGGTCTTCAAGAACAGTTTTTCTAAGAAAAATCAGGGGAAATAAGTTATTTTTCATTATGATGAATTTAACACATGAGTTAATAATGATCTTTACTAGGAACTGAAGCTAAGTGCTTAATTTATTATTAATTCAAGCGATTAATTGTAAAGGTTTGGGAGAAATGTTACAGTTAATATACGCATGAAAATATCATTTCCATCTCAGGTTTATGTAAACGGCACTTTGTTTACTGTAGATGTTAAAGACCACTAATTTTTGATAAAAATACGGTTAAATTCTGGAGTCTCATTTTCTTTTGTACAGCAGGGAATGTCTGAATGTTGGAAAGGATCTCATTTGTTGATGACGACAGAAACAGGACTTGCTTTAAAGTAAATAATCTGAAATATTGCTTTGTTAAAAATATTCTCCTCTGATGTTCATTTGGGGAAAAAAGACTTTACTTTGGCTATTTAATTGTTGCTGTTGGTATTCCAGACATAAAAGGATACTAACTGTCACAGGTGTCCCTGCATTGCCATCTACACCAGAGAACACACACACACACACACACACACACACACACACACACGCAAACCCATGGCCTAGACAACCTCCTTCCTGCTTCCCCTGTTATGAAAATACAGGAAGGCTTTATGGATTGGTCTGTTTGGACAAGGAAACCTGTTAAATCTCTGGTCCTGTTTCTCCAGTTTGTCAGCCGACTATGGAACCCTGGTAATTCTATGGAGGGCTTTTGCATGGTTAGGACGGACGGACTGTCCTGGGGACAGATGGGAAATCCTCCCTGAGAAAAATTTTTCTTGTCATATTTACCTCAAACTGGGCTACCAGTTGCTTGGAGAATAGGCACTATTCAGGATAAATATGGGAAAACTCTCTGGTACTTCAATTTTACTCAACGGTAAATAATGTAAATATTACTTTTATATTAAAATAGTTTCATGGGACTTTTTTTTGCAATAAAGCATGAGACTTCAAACACATTATGCTTTTGAAGTAGGGACTTAAAACTAATCTTACATTACTATTGACCTTACAGAAATAAAAAGAACGATAAGGAAATACTATGACATCTGCATGGCAGCAAATGAAAGGCAAGCTACCAAAACTGACTCAAGAATAAATATACAATCTTAATAGACATACAACAAGAGATTAAATTAGTAATCAAAAATGTCCCATAAAGAAAAGCCCAGGACCAGATAGCTTCACTGGTGAATTGTACCAAACGTTTTCAAAAATCATCTGAATAGATATTCTCCAAAGAAGTTATACAAATAGCCAATAAGCACATGAAACACATCAGCTGTTAAAGGAAATGTAAATAAAAACTACAGCGAGATACCACTTGATACCCACGATGATATGTGAGAATACAAATGACAGATAAGGGTTTCCCTGGGGGCGCAGTGGTTGAGAATCCACCTGCCAATGCAGGGGACACGGGTTCGAGCTCTGGTCTGGGAAGATCCCACATGTCGTGGAGCAACTAAACCCGTGAGCCACAACTACTGAGCCCGTGTGCCACAACTACTGAAGCCCGCGTGCCTAGAGCCTGTGCTCTGCAACAAGAAAAGCCGCTGCAATGAGAAGCCCGTGCACAACAACGAAGAGTAGCCTGCGCTCACCACAACTAGAGAAAACTCGTGTGCAGCAATGAAGACCCAATGCAGCCAAAAATAAATTAATTAAATAAATAAATTTATATTAAAAAAAGAGGTGGTTACTTTTATTTTTACAAAATGAAGGATAATAACAAGTATTGTTGAGGATGTGGAGAAATCAGAATCCTCATATTCTGCTGGTGGGTGTATAAAATGGTACAGCAACTTTGGTAAACAGTCTGACAGTTCCTCAAATGGTTAAATATTGAGTTGCTATGTGAGCCAATAAGCCGACTCCTAGGCCCAAAAGAATTCAAATATTTATGTACCCACACAAAAACTTATACATGAATGTTCATAGAGGAATTATATAAAATAGCAAAGAAGTGGAAATACCTCAACCCAAATGGCCACTAACTACTGAGTGGATGAACAGAATGGGCTATCTACACACAAGAAAATATTATTCAACTATAAAGAGTAATGACTTTCTGATACATGCTACAACATGGATGAACTTACATACATTATGCTAAGTGAAAGAAATGTATTTCTACGATTCCATTTACATGAAATGCCTAGAATAGGCAAATTCACAGAGGCATAAAGTCGATTAGTGGTTGCTTAGTGCTGGGGAGATTGGATGTTTGGGAGGTGACGGCTAAGGGGCATGGAGGTCCTTTTTGGTATAATGAAAATGTTCTAAAATTAATGGTGTCGATGGATGCACAGCTCTGTGAATATACTCAAAACCACTGAATCATACACTTCAAATGAGTGAATTGTATGGCATGTGAATTAAGTATCAATGCAACTGTTATAAAATAAAAACAGTACCCCTTGGGTGTTCCTCTTTAGGGGTGTCAAAAAAGCTCTGATGTCCCAAGTCTCAGACACCAGGGTTTCAGCACCAGCTAACTGGCTTCTGACCTTGGTCAGGCTGCTACCCCTTCTGGGTTTCAGTTTCCTCATCTGAAAAATGTAGGAGTAGGATTCAGTTCAGTTCCCTTCACTGTCTTGGAAGCTTGGAGGATTATGTAACTGACATTCAAAATTACGTGAACTTGCAAAGCACTTTGGAAATGAGTTTCCAGTATCGTTAATGTAAAACTAGTTTAGCCGAGAGCAGAGCAATTTAAAAATCGACACCAGGGTGTTCTTTGATATACTTGCAGTGCTGCCTGAAAGGCAGAGAACATTTTTCTTTTTTCTGGTAAAATAAGAGGTATTTGCATGTGTGTGTGTGTATTTTTTATAGAACATTATTTTGCTCAAGTTGAAGTGAGTGGCAGCAATGTTCTCCACACCCTCTGTGCAGGGCCATCTGAGCAATCAGTTTTCTCAAACAGATTCTGTGATGGTTAAGAATGAGAGGCTCCTGCAGAGATGGCTAATGTGGGACAAGAGATGGGCCTCTGAGAGCTAAACTTTAGATCAACACAGAAGGGTGCAGAGCAGAGAGAGGCAAAGTCTCTAGAAAAAGCCAGACAGGGCCCAGTCAGCCATGATCAGATGGTAACCTGTTACTGCTACAACTGAAGAAAAGACTGGCACTAACATAGTGCTAGTAACCTATCTGATATAAAATGTATACAGTTAAACCTTGCCCGTGACCAGGAAGGTACAAGAGCTTTTAATTTCTACAGAATCAAAAGGACTTGGAACAGCATAGGGAAAAAAAAAGTATGGCCATTCCCAAGGGCAAAGGAAGGTTAAAAAAGGAACAATAGGTGTATCCACATATGTGGGTGTAAATAAAATCGAGAACATCCCAAGTTGTAAGTCACTTTTATGTTTATCATCAATTCGTTTCTCATAAGAAACTTTTGAGGGGGTGGTTATTTTTACCCTCATTCTATGGGAAGGAACTTTGAGGTTTAGAGAGGTAAGGTAAGGCTGCCCAAGAGCATAGTGGTTCAGTAAGAGATTAAAGTCTTCTACCCCAAAAGCCCAAACTATTTGTAGTATGCATTTCAACGTACTTAGGACATTTTATTTGATGCCTCATCTACCTCAGGTATGGCAGGTATACACTAACTACTCATTAGAAGTTTGCAGCACGGTGAGGTGAACTGACCACTGAGATAGTTTTGCAGCTATGTGTTCTGGGCTGCATGTGCATTTTCAGAACCTACATAATGTGAGGAGAGCTGCCTTCCTCATTTTAAGACGACATGAGTTTTTAGCTATCATACTCCATGGAGATAAGATTTCTGCACAGGTGACCCAGGAAACTGAAATACTAGCAAGAATCTGAGGGCATATGAGTCTACTGACCCCTGGTGAGAATGATTCCATTAATCATTTTTCCATTAACAATTCTGAGATTCTTCCAAGGTGTTTACTAGTGAGAGCCAGAGGCAAACGCAGTCGGTGAAACTGAAGGTCAGAAATACTTTGCACAATTCGAAAAAATTGTATTCCCAGGCATCAGAAAGGCCCACATGATTTACTGAGTGATTATTCTCAAGAATGTTGCTTGCATGGTTTCTCTGCTAAGGTTACGTTTTATATACTTGTTTAGCTTTGGAGATAAAAGCAGTACTACTTGAAAATAATTTTTTAAATAATAACTGTTTGTTGCTGTGCACATTTTGACTTCCTCTCTCTCCCGTTCTCACCAGACAGAAGGCAATACTGGGTGCAGGCAGTCACTGTGGACCAGGCCTATTATGTTTTCTAGAAGGAGAAATCTTTAGCTAAGGGTCAGACTATCTTTGTCACCTTATACAATTCACGTGATCATTCTGTGCACTCTTTCCTATCCACAAAGTGGAAACAGTAACGCCAACCCTGCCCTTATGTCTGTCAGGTGAAAGAGACTTTAATCCGAACTGAGTACTTTATTTCTATCTAGAGGTGAATATTAATTAATGAAATGAAAATAACTCCAAATAGCCTTATTAATCCTTTGAAATGCCTCCAATTAAAAGGTAACTCTCCACTGAAATACCAACTTTCCTTCCCTTGGCAAAGTGCTAGCCTCTATTTTGCCAGCATCTGACTTTTCAACCTCTCATTTTACCTCAGCAGACTAAAATTTTCTGTTATGAGTCAAAAGGAGCCAAGGTGGAACCAGCAATCTTGGTTCATGTTGTTTTGTATTTTGCTGGTACATTGGGACAGGATCATCTGAGAAATAAGATTTTTACTCAGCCTTTCATCTTTGAACAACACAACTTTGCTTAAAAAGAGAAAATCAAACTCAAGGTAAAAATGGTGATATCTGTCAGTGTGGTCTATTACACAGAAATGACAACAATCAAAACAAGTCTTAATACTGATTATGACTTTTTAATTTTTCTTCCTTTTTGTAAAATGGTAATAACATTCTTCTTTCTCTAATTCAGAGATGTGAAAATATAAAGCAAGGTTTATAATAGATTTTGAATGTCCAATAAAAATGGGGATGGATAAATAAAATATGGGACGTTTATATGGTGAAGGACTATAGAGTAATTAAGAGGCTTGACCTAAGTCTATATATGTCTTGACACATATAGATCTCAAAAACATAATGGTGAGTGAAAAGCAGAAGTTGCAGAGTCGTATATACAGGAAACATTGATGTAAAACTACAGTCCCCACAAGGGAGGATTCTGGAAAGATGATAGTGGAGGCAGCAGAGTTTGGGAATTTCACTGAATCTCTACAAAAAAAAAAAATAGAGCTTCTAGATAGGAAAACCAAAACCCCATGGACGATACACAACAAAACTAGATATCTCCGCGAACCCCAGAATACAATTAAGGCAACGACAAAACACTCACAATCATGAGATTTAAGGGTTATCAACATCAGTGTGGGAGAAAGTAAAGGGAAGCAAAGGGATGAATAGCAGAATCTCCAAAATAGCCCACAGGTATTGACGACAAAGTATGGTGGGCCAATGAAGAACATCCCCAGATTTATATTAAAATCAGCTGAAACTGGGAGGGGTTTTGCCCACTGCAGTAGCACATGAGTGCAAAGGACTCAAGGTCATAAGGACTAAGGGGTTTGAGTGGTCAGGCATTTACAAATTCTAGAAAATGATCTACCAGACCTCCCTTCCAGGACAGGGTCCACACTGAGGGGAAACTAGTGGGTTTGGAATCAAAACTGAGTTGGACAGAAGCAAAGTAAAGAGAAAATCCAGGTAAAAGTGTGCAGAGGGACAGAACCAGAAAATTTCAAAATGCAAGCAGCCATGTGTTTATTTACTTACTTTTTAACGCTACACAAAAACAATGGAAGAAGGAGTTCTGTGCATTTGGAGAAGCTACCCTGAGTCACTTCTCTTTCTAAGAGTTTTTGAAAACTAATTTCACATAAAAATGAGCAACAGATATGTATCTAGGTCAACTCCCATACAAAGTTATTATAAGAAAAAAAAAAAAAAGAATAAGGAACAGAATCACATCCTTACAGATAGCAAAAGCATGCCAGAAAATCATGCCAAAAAAAGGATTAAAACATAACAGTATTTTAAAATGAGTGAGAAGCATTAATAAAATGGTATAAGACATGAAAGAACAACAGAAATCAGAATTGGAAAAACTCAGGTATGGAAATAAAAGAACTCAGGGAAGAAAACAAGATTATAAAAGTAATGAAATCTAAATTAGAATGAACACAAGAGGAAGGGAATACAATAGCTGTCGTTTTAAGAGAAATAGAATATGAAGAAGAGGAAAACTTTCAAGATAAAAAATAAATGAAGTGATAAAAAGTATTCATTCAAGAGATAGGCAAAATCGTGAATACAGGCAAAGAAGACTTAAAATATGGTTATTAGAAATCCCTGACAAAGAAAACCAAATCAAGGAAACTGACCAAATACTAAAAACTTTCCTGAAATTATAAAAAATGTATTTGAAACCACATATTAGTTTCAAAATGAGAGAATAAGAGCACACTGCATGCCTGAGAATGTCAATATACAACAGCCGACACCAAGACATAGTCTAGTTAGATGACTAAATTTTATAGAAGAAAAAAAAATCCTTTGAACTATGCAAAAACAGCAAGTGACTTATAAGAAAAAGAAAATTAGATTATCATTAGGCTTTTAAATAACATATTTAAGACACTTAGGGAAAGAAACTGTGCCAAGGTTTTTTGGGGGTTTTTTTTTGGCCACACTCTGTGACATGTGGGGATCCTAGTTCCCCGACCAGGGATTGAGCCCAAACCTCCTGCAATGGAAGTGCTGAGCCTTAACCACTGGACTGCCAGGGAAGTCCCTGCCAAGGAGTTTTATATCCGGAAAAACACTGACTTTCTAATATAAAGGACAAGCCAGCTTGTTATCAATGTGCAAGAATTCAGGGAATATTGTTCCCATGAGTCCTTCCTGAGGAATGAACTTTAGACAGCACCTCGACTAGAGAGACATCTGCATAAGGGCTGGTGGTGAACATCAATCTTACAGTTGCTGATGGAACTAAAACTAAATGAAGATGAAAAGGAATGTATATATTGTACGTAATGGCCATATACTCAAATAATGGAGAAATGAGGCTATCATATGTGTAAAGAAGGATAGGTAAATGAGTAATTATGAGATATTTTAATTCTATCAATCCCCCTGTCCTTGAGAGTTAGGACTTTGAGTGTGGAAAGAAGAAGATACAGATATGATACAGAAGAAGCTAAGAAAAAAAAATCCTGCAGTCCTGAATTTGAATTTGAAGTGTCAGAATGAACTCATATATTTTATATTAAAATAATATATGTAAATGTATATATGTATATTTTCTATCATTGTCAACAGAAGAAGTCTAGAAAGAATGACCAACTGAGTAGCAATGACATTCCTATGCACCCAGATCATGGTCTTAATACTATTTCCCACTAAAAGAAACCAGAGCTTCTAAGAAATGACTGATTTCAAGCCTGGGGTTGGAAATGTACAAGACAGGCTGGAACAACTTGTCACACTAGTTAGTGAGGAAGCTACAAAGACTACTTAGACTTATGTGGAAAGGACCCAGGAGCCAACTTGAAATTCCTACTGGTCAAAGATGAGAGAATTTGAGCTTTAAAGGGATAATAAATGAAGTAGTCTGAAACTCATCAAATGTGTATAAATTCATGAGTTCATAATGATACTTTAAAGAAAACCAAGTGACTACTTTGGGATGATACTGTAAAGGCAATGAGTTATTTGAAAACTGGCAAGTAAAACAAAAGAATCAAGCATTTATCCTGCCTTTCTTAGCATGAATAATAGTACCATTAGGAACTGTGGGGAAAAACATCCTTAAGCTATGATGACGATGAGGGAAACTGTCTCTAATATATTTCAACTACTAAAGGAAATATAATTGATAGATTAGAATAGCACCATTTTGCAACCTCCAATGAACTGATAGACCTAGTCATAGAGCATGAACAGCTGCTAATATCACAAAAATAAAAAAGAGAAAACCACTTATGATGGCCTCCTGTTGAAAGGCAACACCATCACTTACAGCCTTGCCAAAGAAATCAAACTGGAGTCTCATCAAGCCTCTGGATCTAGCTGCCAATTTTCAGGAAATACAGAGCACAGAGAAACATATTCAATCACACCACAGGGATGCCATCAGCAAAATGCAGAAACTCTACACGACAGATTCCACAGCTAAATTACAAGGAAAAGGAAGGGATGGAAAGGAAACTGGTAGATTAAAATCGACTTAAAAGACACATCAAAAATTTAAAAACTGGGCAAGACTATGGTGTCTGGAGATACGCAGTTGGGTGATAAAGCTATAAAGCAATACAAGGAAATGATTATAGTAATCTTCAGGATGTTGTTTTTTTAGGGGGGAGGAGGAATTTATGATGGGTTGGGGCATGTGGATGGGACTTTTGGAGCAGCTACCTATCTGTTCTTTCCTGACCTGTGCTATGTTTACAAGGGTGTTCACCTTTCAATAACTACATTTATTTTGGGTTTTTTTATTTGTTTCCTTTTATCAAGAAAAGGTTAAAAAATTATCCACAGACAATACTACACATAGTCTATGGATTCATACAAGTGAATGTAAAAGTATAAAATTTGCCAAACCCAATGCCCATCAAGTTCCTATGAGTGGTTCCATCTAGGGAGGTGGTAGGAAAATGTAACTGGGAGTGGGGGAGGCCAAAGGGCGTTTCAAGTTTATTTGTTACCTTCTAATTCTGTGGAAATATGTCAAAATCTTAGCAATGGTCAAACCGGGACATTGCAAACACATGTATTTGTGTATTATCCTCTCCCAGTCTTTATTTTTGAATTCTAAAAAAATGAGCTTATGAGTATACATTGAGACTGCATGCAATAAATTTTCTGAAAATGTTTTGATGCCATTGACACAATGTCTGTTAAATCAAATATAAAATTGTCATGAGTCCAACTACCTTACTTAAAAATAATAATGTAGGCATCTTTGAAGAATTTGTTCCTTAACATTAAGTGAATGAAAATTTGACTCTCGAAGTTTATTCATTGTGATTGTACACCTAACAGTATTCTATAATAGAAACAGCGTCAATATTTTCTTTCTGCTGAGAGTGTAAAAAACTATACAATTTGTTTAAACCACCAATCATTTCCTCCTTTTGCAGGATGTGTAAAGGATTTTATAGAAATCCAGTTCAAATCAATGGAATGTCCCCAGATTATTTTCCCATTTGGAGTTTTAAGATCCATTGTCTCCTCAGCCTAAATAAAGCTCTGTGTTAGAAAGGAGGTGCTTGCATCTGAGAATGTGTATGTGGTTAAATTAACATAAATCATTGAAAATTATTCATTATTCATAATTTTGACCTTCTCGGTACTTAAGGCCATGATCACCAGGTGGGCAAATCATTATAAATGTGACACATAAAACAACAATCGGCCATTCTACATTTTATTCCCTAAATGTCCACAACAATCTCATTCTGCCATGAGAGAAAATGAATGTCAGGGGAAAAAAATTGCCTCAAGTATTTTTTTGTGTCTTCCTTTTAATTTCTATGAGCTCCATAAGAATATCAACTCACAGAAATAGCACAATCAGATTCTCCTCTGTGAGCACATGTAGGGTATAAACTCACTCGTGATGGCTCATGAATGAAAAAAAAACGCAGACCCACAGCCAAGTGAGCCTTTCTGTATTTACCAGGCAAGTAGCTGCACAGTCTCTCCATTGAGGTCTGGACCGTTGAGTTGTGAACTTGAGCAAGCTGTTCAATCACAGACACCACCAGCACACACCCTGCAAGGGAGCAGAAATCAGCCACGTCACATGGAAAGCTGTGCTGGAGGGCTGGGGGAAAGAAAGGGGATATATGAGTGTCCTTAAAAACACAAACCTTTCTAAAACAGAGAACTTGTCTTTGCCATGCTTTTTATAATCAACCATGCATGTAAATGCACTGAGTTGTAGTGAAATATGAAGTGTGGTAAGAAGATTGTGTATTTGGGGGTCAGAAAGACTGGTTATCAGCTTACCTTTGTCACTTGTAAGCTATGTGACTTGGGGGAAGTAATTGAATCTTGCTTTGTTTCCATTTCTTTTTGATCACTATCTCCTGTAAATGGGGAGATAGTGCACGGAAGACATTTACAGGAGATGGTGCATGGAAGACAGCCACCACTGAGGAGGAGCTCAGTGGACAGTGGCTCCTTTCCTGTCCCCTCTCCTTTGCTTCTGCAGGACAGCTTCACTGTGAGTAAGATCATTCTCACCCTACACATTCTCAGCCCGTGACCTAGGGTCAGATTTTTAATTGTAGAAAAGCAGCGGAAATTGCCCAACATTTGGAGTCAGAAGACCTGGGATTGAGTCTTGCCCTTGAATCCTGGACTTACCACCCATCCTTTCTAAGCCTTGTTTTCCTCACTGCAAAGTAAATAAGTTTCCCAAAGGGCTGCTGTGATGATTAAATGAAATAAAAGTGCAAGTGAAGGTGCCTTTGAAATCATACACTATTGTAAAATATTATTTTACCTCCCAGCTATAAAGCACTCTGCTTGAAAGCATGTACCAATATGATAAGTGTCTAGAAGGAACCTTGGATTAAATTAGGAATATATTCCTTAAGCTACCTTGATGTATGATGAGTGTGAAGGCTCAGAACTGCTAGGCTAATACCCCTAGAAGTTTCTATCACCAGCCTTCATCTCCTAAACTGCTAGGGAAGCCCAAACCTCCTTTGTCCAAAGGGAGGGGACTCTTCTATACACAAGAGGTTGGTTGGTCAAAGATAAGTAAGCCTGAGAAGAAATTGTTAGGCTTTGTTTAGATAGGAGGAGTAGTACTTATTGGCAGAGGTTGGTTTCCAAGGAGGCAAAAGAAGGATTACATCCAAAGTAAAGAAGTTCCAGGGTGCCTGGCCCAGAAGTAAGCTCACTGCTATCCACCTGCTCAAGGAGCTGGGGACCCAAGTTCACATGCAGTGTCATTAAAACCAAATTCCCACTAGGAATCCTTGAGGGAAAGTGGCTGATAACAGATGTGAATAGTACAATTGGGCATTTCTTTAAACCTCTCATAAAATGAGAGATTGCCAACAAAGAGGGAGAGATTTCCACCTTTCTAGACACTGCAACACCTGAGCAAGCTCTGGCCTCGTTTGTTCTGTACCCTCTGGTAAGGCTGGGCAAAGCTGGGCTCACCAAATCTGAGATACTTCGATCTTGATAACCATAGTCTTACTGCTCTGGGAGCACCTACTTCTGGGACATTTATCAACATCAGTTACCAAGGTTGATTGGATGTGCTTTTAGCCTAATCCATGCATTGAGGGTTTTATTACATTGCAATGAATTCAGTAGCTGATACTTATTAGCACTTTACAGCCTAAAAAGCATTTTCATATATATTTTGTTTTATTTTAAAAATAACTTTTCAAAAAAGATAGATGCAATGCAATCTCATTTCAGAAAAATTTTAAGATACACAACAATGTAAAAAAGATAAACATCACTTAAATCACCCAGAGATAAACCAATTTCACTTTTATTTTAAATATATAAAATATGTTTAATATATGGGAATATTTTCAACATTTATAATGCACTATTACACCTTGATTTATGTCCCTGCTAATCACCTGCTAAGTTAGGTGGAGTGAAATACATTTTAATAACTGCAATTGAAAATAATTATAAGTAATTATACTGCAGTGTGACAAGAGGATGCAATGTGGTATAGTTGAAAAGGGAGAAGCTTTGGAATAAAAAATAAACTTTTTTTTTTAAACAAGGTTCAAATACTGGATCAGTCACTTAAAATGGTAACTCTGAACAAGTTACCTACCCTTCTGGAGCCTCTTTTTAAGAATTTAGAGTTAGAGCATAAGTTCCTTGAGGGCAGGAATGGGGTCTTAGTATCTCTAACTTTGAGTGCCTGACATAAGAGCCTGGTTTGGAGGAAGGAGATAAGAGATGTTGGCTGACTTGAAGCCAACTGACTGGAGAACCAACCGAGGGACACTTCAGTTGTCACTTGCTGGGGACCTCCATAGGAAACGGTTAATGGATGCAACTGAATTTGTGTTCTGGCTCAGTCATCCCACTGACGACATTGCTTACTGTTTGTTCCATCTCATTACAGGAAAAGGCTCCACTTTTCATCCTGGTGTGAAACAACCAGCGCCCTCTCTTAAGTCAACCAGCAGATTCTCTAGCAAATGGTCACGATGTGCAGCTCAGGATCAAAGAAGAACGCGGTGGAGATTGGGTTGAGACCTCGAATAGCAATCACTTCATACGGAGTCTTATCAATGAGCTGCAGCATCTGGCACCCAGAATGGGCTTGAAACACAGGCATGTATTTATTTTCATCCTTGGAGTGGAAGGATGAATGCAAAGAGAATTGCGCTGCTTGAGACCAACCTGCTCCTTTGTACTTACAGATGTGGGCTTTTCTTTCACTCAGAGCAATCCCAACAAGGACTCATGACTTTTGTGGCTCCTTAGCACTGCTGGCTAAAATTGGAAATCATTAGATAAATAAAAAGGAACCAAGAAAAAGTCAGCTGTCTCTGAAGATTGGGTGGATCTTGCCACGAATGCCACTCTGCCTAGTGAAGAGTTATTATGATCAAAAGGACCCTGCAGAAAAGCAGGTAATGGGGCTTGAAATATGTAAACGCCCATGTTGGGCTCAGCTTTGATTTGAGTCCTGCTCACTTGGACATCCCTGCCCATTTCCAGCGAGCTCAACTCCCACTGGATTGTTAATTTAGGGTCTGCAGTGAGGTGCGTCCTGAATCCTTTAGCAGCAAGAATGGAGAAATTGACTTTGCTATAGTTTCTAATAAGAGCTTTTACTGTCTTGACAGGCTAAAAAAATGTTTTTCCTTGGAGAAATGCATGTGCAGAGTAATTCCTCCCCTTATAGACTATTCTCTGGCTGCTAATAAAAGGCCTGGGTCTGCTAAGCAAGTTTGTCCAAGCAACTGTTCATTTAGGAAGTGATGAGAGTGGGTGAGAACTACGTATTTTGCTCAGTGGTCACTATCTGAAATCTCCCATATGGAAAATCTCTTCTCACCTGGCAACTGAAAATAATGAGTATAATAGAAACAGACACCCCTGATATTGTAGGAAAAGAAGCAAATAGGCCAGAATAAAAACACCTGCCACAGCAATCAGCTTCTAGACACACATCTCAGGTAGACTGCAGACTGTACCATGGAATCCTTTTGAAATGAAACAGAACTCTTGAAACTCTAATTATAATCATATCTGTGCTGGCTGGAAATTCAGCCAACTGCAGAGAGCAGTCTAGTAGATTTCTCATTTGTCTGAAGCCTACACTTCATTGAGAAGCCTTGAAAGCACCTGGCAGTTGTCAGAACCAGGGTCGGCGTGACTACACTCCATTTTTGACCCTGAGTCAGGGCATAAATAATTCATCACATGGCTAGAATGTTCTCTGCAGATTTCAAAGAATTTGCATACATTATCATCTCATTCAAACTTCTGAACAACTCATAGATGTAGGAATTACTGTTCTTATTATTGTATAAACCAGCAATCGGAGGCTCAGAGAGCTTAGATGCCTTGCCAATTATGTAGCTAGTGAGCAGGGGAGCTGGGACTGGAACACAGTATGTATTGAGTCCAGGCACCATGCTGAGCTATGAGTACACGCCGAGAACAAACAGATATGATTCCTGCCCTCTCAGAGATCATACTGTATTAGGGAAAAGTGATTGTAAACATGTAAGCACGCATGCAATTATAAATAATTTTAGGTGCTATGAAGAAAAGGAACAAGGTGAAGTAACAGAGGGCAACAAGGACGAGGTGGTATGAACATTAACTAGAGCTGATAGAGAGAGAAGGCTTCTCTGAAGAACACACACAAAAATGGCTCATATAATGGAAAGGAGCAAGCAGGGTGAGAAGCCAGGCAGGCTTTGTAGGTAGGAGGAACTGGTGCCTACCTTACGGCAATGAGACTGGGAAAACCTGACATTAGGAGATGCGATGCAGGCATAGGTGGAGGTCAGGTCTGTGGGTTTTGTAAATGGCGAAAGAGGTAGGGATTCAACCTGAGAGGAATGGGAAACTGTGAATGGGCTTTGTGGAGAGGGCTGCTGCTATTTGATCTGTGTCTTTAAAATATCATGCTGGCTGTCATGAGGAGGAAGGATCTTGGGGGCGGAGAGATGAAGAAGGAGGCTATTTTGGTCCTGGAGAGAGGTGACCGCTGACTGGATAGAGTAAAGAGTGGCAGTGGGGATGGAGGAAAATGGGCAAATCTGGAATCTGTTATGGAGGCTGACCCGATTGGATTTGTTAATAAATTGAGGAGAAATGTGAGAATCAAGGATGACTCTTGTTTCTGGTTTGGGCCCTGGAGAAGCGTAGAGCACAGGTTTTAGAGTCACACCACACCTGGATTTGGGCCCCTGCACCCCTGTTGGACCAGCATGACATTATCAAGTGCATTCCTCACCTGATCCCTCTCTCCCCACCCAATGCCCCTCCACAAACACCTAAATTCTGTTCTCAGATTTTGTTAATCAGGTGGGAGCAGAGGATATAGTTTTATATGTTGTAATTCTAATCAACAACTTTTATCCCAGATCTTTCTCATGTTGGTGAAGAGAAAAGGAAATAAGAAAGAAAGGTAGGAAAACAATCACCCAAAATGATCCTACAGCCAGCTTTGTTTCCCTAAGATATTAGTTATCAAGCCAGAGATGGCAGCACACAGCCCAGGTATGAACACTGAAACTTCACTTTTTCTTCTGCATCCTACTCTCAGTCTGGACCTGGATAGGGAGAGTGGGTAGGAGAAGAAAAGAG